ATTTATTGAGAAGATAGCTCTTGAGAGACAGAAGGGAACCCCACTTTATAGGGAAGTTTTATAGAGCAAAACCCACATGGGTACGACATGGGTTACAGCTATGATTAACTAATAAAGTTACAACTGGAGTCCCTTAGGTAATAGCAATCCAATGGGGAAACAAGTCATGTAACAAGGGTGCATGGAAAGAACAAAGACCGTTTTTTAGGAAACGATGGGTCAGAGGTCTTGGTCACCCCCTGGGGTGACTGATGTCTATCTAGGCTTCATTAGGCCCAGAGTTTGTCTTTTGAGGAAGTATGGAGGCCTGGTCACTTCATCTTTATCTTGAGGTCTGGTCTCTGGCCATAGCTGAGATGTGTTTCTTTCACCTTTGTCCTGACTCTTTCAAGGACATAGCCCTATCTGACTACCTACAATATTTCTATCTAACTTAGCTATCTGTAATAAAGGTATCAACCTCAAAAGAGATACATCTTGAGAGTTCACCAGGTCTTTTGGTCTGGGGTCTTACAACAACCACACTGGCCCTACTTCTTAGATGGTGAGACTGAGGCATACCAGAAGTCATACAACAGGTTAGTGATAGAGCAAAACAGACCAAAGCAGTTTGTGTATAGAGCCTACACTAGCTACTATTGCTTTAAATAGTTCTCCGAGGGGTGGGGGAAGATGGGCAGGAAGGAAGAAGATGGTAATACAGAGCTGCCATTCATAAAGCTGAAGGAGGGCACATTTGGCCCAGGAACCATAACAGTTGGTCTCTGTGTCTTCTTGGACATGTGTGATATACGATGTATGATACATGGACCTCTAAATAATATAAAGGAAATATTATCTCTCCCAACCTGCTAGATGTCCAACACACTGCGTTTGCATTTTTTAAAATCAAAGAATGAATGCTAGGAACAGTGGAGGTTAAGAGTAGGAAGAATTTATTGAAAGATGGCCTTTGTCTAAAAGAGACAGAAGCGGGCCTGGAAAGTGGGTTGCCTGTCAACCTGGATTCTGAAGGGAGTCTTATAGAGCGAAACCACAAGGTAAGACAGGTATAAGATAGGAAAAAACCGTAGTCAACTAATAAGATTACAAGTATGGTTGCTTAGGTAATATTGATCCAATGGAAAAATCACAAGGGGGTATAAAGTGGGACAAAACTATGGTTAACCAATAAGATTATAATAGTATAGTTGTTTAGATAATATTGATTAAATGGAGATCAAATGCAGAAGCAAGTCATGTAGCAAGCATACGTGGAAGGAACAAGGATTTTCTGGAAAGGAATGGGCTAAGGATGTTTTGGTTTCTCACCCACAGTGACTGATGTCTATCTAGAATATTAATCGTGGCTGTTCATCCCTAGGGAAAGCATGTAGGTGTAGTCAATTCTCCTTGAAGCCTGGCCTTCAATGAGCGCACCTCCAGATGAGATGTGTTCTTATCATCTGTACTGACTTCTTCCAAGGGCCCAGCCCCACCTGACTGCCTATAATATTTTTAACTAACTGTCTACAGGCCTTTTATGACACCATGGCTTACTATTTTAGCCTACGTAGAATTCACAGGTTATAGGGCACTACCTGCAGAAAGTCTGATGCAATAAGAGGTTGGGACATAGGAAGGTGATTTTTAGCACGTTGCCAGGTGATTCTCTTGTTATGTGGTCCTCAGATCATATTTTGAGACTTATCAATTTCATATAAGATCCACTGTTGTCTCTTTTCTCCTTTAAGTATCTTGCAAAAGCAGCAGCTGCAGAGGCTATTTTGGGCTAGCAAGGACCTTAAGAAGGTCACAGCTCACATGCCTGTCCATGACAGGGCTGACCAGTGGGGTTCATGGTGCTCATTACAGTGGGGTGGGGAAGATATGAGTCTCTCATCAGGGCACTGAGTTCTCTCTGCCCATGAACAGGTTCAGGAATGTTTTAGTAGACAGCATGGGGCAAACTCACTGGAGTCAGCTTCCCCAGCCCCCACACTGCTGAGTCACACCCTTTGTCCTAAGTCACCTGCCCCAGCAGCCCAGTGGAGAAATGTAAACAAAGCTCTGGGTGTGTGACCCTGAAGTAAAGTCCTAGAAACTTCCAGGTTTCCAGAAGGGAAAGAAAAATTCAGAATTCAGAATGCAAAGCCATTTAAAAGTATATGCACCAATTCTTCCCTCATGTTGCAGGCTAAATTTATAGAATAATAAAGTGAAAAATTTCCCAGTTCTTTTTAAAATCGGTTTAACAATTGATAAATTATTTAATCTTCACTTTTAGTCTAGGCATGTGCTCAGGGCTGAGGTTGTAGCTCAGTGATAGAATGCTTGCCTAGCATGTGTGAAGCCCTGGGTTTGATCCCCAACACCACACACACAAAAAAGTGCTTGAGAAATATAGCTCTGGGATAAGCTTTTTGACATTGTATTCCTCTGTTGGATCATATCCACGTTGGATTTAATTTATAAACTGTCTTCCTAAGGACTAAACTGACAGTGCTCCACAGGCAAGAGCATTGTAGGCTCCTGGAGCCTGACCACAAGCCCATGGGCTGTAAGAGAATGCTAAACTCATGGTAAAAAAACAAAAACAAAAACGTGGAAAATAGAGAAATGAATAGAAAGGGGAAAAAATCACCCAGAGATAATCACCGTTACTGTTCTGTGTATTTCCTTTCACTGATTTATGATTCATAAAGTAGACTCTCATGGATTTAATTTGATACATTTATTCTTTCCCTTAGTATTTGTAATGTGAACACTTCCCCTACAGTATTAGATAGACTTTGGTAAAGTTGTATTTAATACTATATGTTCCAAATTCTGAATGTACTATAATTCACTTTCATTTTTCCTTCTATGTCAAAATTGTTTGCACTTTTTTTTTGTACTGGTTATTGAACCCAAAGACTTCACACTGAGCTATATCCCTAGCTTTTTTAAAAAATTAAAATTTAATATTAATTTATTTATTTGCAGTACTGGGGATTTGCGCTAAGCTACATCCATCTGTTATTTTAAATTCTGAGATAGGGTCTCACTAAGTTGCTAATTGTCCAGGCTAAGCTTGAACTTCTGATTCCCCTGCCTCAGCCTCCCAGAGTGCTAGGATTATAGGCTTGTACTACCACACTGGCTTTATTTTTTAATTTTTGAGACAGAGTCTCTCTACGTTGCCCAGACTGGGCTCAAAATTGCAGACTGATGTCCCCATTGACAGTGTATTCAGTGATCTGAATAAACTCTTGTCTTTCCTGGATCCCTTGTCTATCAGTAAACTCTTTCACCACCTGTGTCACCTGCTTTCTATATGCTGTATGGCACAGCCTTTTACAGATGAGCATCCTTTTGCATTTTTCTTTTTAAATCACATCTTTGATAAATTCTTATATATGAAATTACATCAAAAATTGTGAATTCTTTTAAGGCTCTTGGTACATCTTACATAATTGCTTTCCAGGAAAGTCATTCCAGCATCATACAAAAGTGCCTATTAATTAAACTCTTCCTAACCATTGTTTATTATAATTAAAAAATAACTTTTTCAGTGTGACAAGTTAAAATGGTTCATATTCTCATATATATTCTTTTGATACTAAGAATGAATGGTTCTTACCTTTTTATATTAAGGCATTTGTAGATTTCTTCCTGATTTTTACACATACAAACACACCCATACACACATACACACACACACACACACAGAAAATACATTATCCTCTTGTTTTTTAATTTTAAAATTATAACCCTAGTGTTTCACTTGATTTTGTGTCTGTGTGTGACTGTTTAGAAGTATAGATAGGAATTTTCCCTTTTTGACAGCTTTTACTTCTTTTTTGATTAGAGTCCTTGCCATTTAAAAAAATTTAAATATTTTTGCTGGACTGGTGATTAAATTCCACAGCTTGTGCTTGCTAGGCAAGGGTCTTACCACTGAGCTACATCTCCATTTCATTTTGAGTCTTAATTGTTATAATTATTTAATTATCATTACTTTATTTTTGTATCAGTTAAAAAGTTGATTATATTCGATTCTCAATTCTACTTGAATGTTTTTGTTTGTTGAAGGTCTGTAGTACTGGGGATTGAACCTAAGGCCTTCGCATAGAGATACATCCTCAGACCATTTTTAATTTTGAGACAGGGTCTTGCTAAGTTGCTAAATTGCCTAGGATGGACTTGAACTTGCAATCCTCCTGCCTTAGTCTCCTGGAATCCTGGATGGGGCCTCTCTGTGCCTGTTGGTTAGTGTAGCTCTCACTTTGTCTTGAGGGAACATGCAAAAAACAGCGGTCTGACAAGTCAGATGATGAACCTGAGTGATCAATAGCTCACCAGATGGGGCAGTCAAAGCCCTCACAGCCATTTCATCTCCTCAGCAATTTGGAAAGTGGGAGCTAGAGTCCGCAATTCAAATCTCTGCAGTCTTTCTTTCTTATCTACTTATTTAAAGACAGGTTTGGCTATGTAGCTGTCTTACTTTTCTTTCATTGCTGAGACAAAATAGCCAACACCCAAAGTTAAAGGAGGAAAGTTATTTAGCTCACAGTTTGTAGAAGTTTCAGTCCATAATTGGCTGGTTCCAAGGCAGCGTGGCACAAGGCAGAGGAGAAACAGTCCATGGCAGCAGAAGACAGCAAAAGCAACAAGGGACTGTAACAGCATCCCCCTGCTCCTTTTATCTTATCCAGACTACTTAGGGCGGGCAGCCCTCACACTCTTAATCCTAGTGCCCTTGAGCCTAGCACCATGAATCAATTCCAGAGTCACACACTCTAGATCCAGCCACCTTCATTCACATGAGGCTTTTGGTGGGGGCGGGGGGGGGGGCATCTAAACACAAGCCATATCAGTAGCCCAGGCTCACAATCCTCCTCTCTCAGCCTCTGGAGTGCTGAGATTACAGGCGTGCACTACCATGCCTGGCTTGTGGGCTTCTTCCCAAATAAAACTACAGATCAAAGTGGCTTCACCATATTTCATAAGGCAAATATTAGCAAAGTTTATGAGCTTACATGATTCAAGTATGGTCTCTGAGCTGCTCTGGCTGGGATTGAGACTCTGAGTGATCTTACGAAACATTATTTAGAACATGACCTTTCACTGCTCAAAACCACTCTGAAGTTCTTGGTATGACTGGAAGGCCCTCCCTGTGCTGCCCCTGCCTCCTACTATCATTGACCTCTCCCACTGCCCCCTGGCTCAGTCTATTTTAGCCACAGGCCTTACTCAATGCTGCTTCTGGAGATCTCTGTTTCCCTATTTCTGGGACACCCTCTTATGTTCCTCACTTCATTCAAATGACCTCAAATGTCATCTCCTCAAACCTTCCCTCGATCACTCTAATAAAACAGCAGTTTCTGTCCCTCTCGATTCCCTACTTTAATTTTCTCATAGCACTTAACTCTGTCATTTTATTCACAAACATGTTTATTTTTTCCTTGTTAGAATGTAAGCTCTGTGATGGCAGAAACGGGACACGGGACTTTCAGAGAGGTTCACTGTACCAGCAAGTAGGAAGATTAACAGCTAGGATCACACTAAAACCAAGGCTCAGCTTCTTACCACTCAGGGTGACTTAGAAGGAAGAATAGTTTTTCTAAACTTTCTTTTCCAGAGTGCCATATGTAGTAGTGGATCAAAATGCTATTTTGGAGGCCCATGAAATTAACTTCCATTCTTCATCTGTTACCTCTAAGTTCTCAGATAATAAATAGAAATAAAATATTCTTTTCAGGGTTCTTAGGAGAGTTAAACGAGACAGTTGTTAATGCACCTAGCATAATGATAGACTCGTATCTGTATTCACTAAAAAGCTTTTATTATTCCTTATCCGTTATTTTTTGTGTTGTGCTAGGAACTGAACCCAGGCTCTCTCTCAGGCTAGGCAAGCACTCTTACCACTGAACTATATCCCAGCCCTATTCTTTATCTGTTAAATGGAGATGGTGCCTAATTACCACCCCAGGTTAAAAAGTTATTAATTATGTGAAAGCTATAGGTTGGGGCTCTTCTGTTAAGTCCTATTTTTCATGTTAGGAGCCAGGAAAGAGCGTGTTCTAATGTTCCTTATGAAAGCGGGGCCATAGCCTCCTTCATCCAACTGATGCATTTTAAGAACCACAGGCATTCTTTGAAAAGCGTTCTCTGACTTTTGTCTGGGGCTGCACGTTTCAAGGGTTACGGGTGTTTTCTTCATTCGGAAACCTCTGTCCGACACCTGGTTGGGAAGCCCTGCAGAAGGCATTACACAACCATCACGCCCAGCCTGCAGCCCTGCTGCAGTGCCCACCCATGATCTTTATCTAAAGAAACTGCGTGACTGGCCATTCAGAAGTTTGACCCTTTACAGTTTCCGTCCGCTCACTAGGAGGCGCTGCGGCGGCGGCGCCCGGGGTTGTAGTGGGCCGGGGAGTTGGGCTGTCAGCAGAGGCTCGTGACCATGGAGCGGGGCTCTGAGTCTGGGGCCGTGAGGCGGCACCGCGTCGGAACCGAGCGCCGGGAAGGACTGGCAGCCATGCTGCAACCGGAGAGGGAGGCGCCGGCGCAGGAGCCCCCGGTAGACACCTGCGGCGGTGTCTCCAGGACTCGGAAGAGGAGCCCGGCGGGCGGCGGCGGCGGCGAGAGCCAGGGCGCAGGCGCTGGGCTGTCCGAGGCGCGCGCCGCGCTGGGGCTCGCGCTGTATCTGCTCGTGCTCTGGGCGCTCGTGCAGCTTTCCCTGCAGCGGCTCGTGCTGCGCCGGCCCTCTGGGCACCACGGCGAGTTCGACGCGCGCCAGGCAAGGTAGGCACAGCTCGCGCGTCCCTCCGCGGCCCCGGGGCGCCAGGCCCCGCGCTCCCGAGTGCAGTGGGGTGGCCTTGCGCCTCCTTCTGGGGTGCGAACTGCAGAGATGGAGGGCGGGGTGCCCAGTTTAGCTCGTGGGGCATATTGGGGGTGGCCAGGTGGATTGAGCCTGTTTGTTTCTCTCTTCTGCCTGGCGGTCAGATGCCTTGGTTATTAGCCCCCCCCCCCCAGCAGTTTCCAATTTGTTACCTTGATTAGCGCTTCTACCTTTCAGTTGAAATGTATGTGCCTGTCGTTTGGTGGGGAGTATTAGAAGAAGTTGTTGGAAGGGGCCACTGTACTGTGCAGACCTTCGGAGGGTTATAGTTCCCAAATCCTGAAAGCTGTGATGTCTGCCAGTGGGAGACCATTCGTTCAAATTTTGCAGTTTCGCTTATCAGATTGTCCTTGGGCCCCCTGGATTAGTGATTGTGCAAGGTTTGACTTTTTAAAAGAGACATTCTGCTAGGAAAGGTGATTAAGTAAAAGATACTGTAAATTTGTGAAATCATAGGGTAGCACAAAGAGTTTCAACAACCATTGTGTTTTAACTTCTTCTTTCAGTACTAAGTGCTGAAAGCTTATTTTCCTAAGGACTTTCTGGATCCTGTCCTCTCTTTTCTTCACTTGCAGTGAAAAGACCAAAAAAAATTTTTTTTTGTTTTTGTTTTCATTAGAGGTACAGTGGGTTTTGGCCTGAATTGAAGTTATTAGGTCCTGCTTGCACAGCAGAAAGATTCAATTCTTCACTGTCAAAAGTTTTTCTTTCCTTAACCTCTTGATTGTCCTTGGTTATAGTTTTCTGCTACTTAGAGTTGTTAACCCAGAGGCCCACTAAAGCTGTATTCTGACCTATCTAGTCTTCAGGAGCCACACATTTTGAATATAATTCCTAGTCTTTATATTGTTATGATAAGGGTTATTAGAAGTGGGGAGTGAGGTGGGTGGAGAAAATTTTGAAGATGTTAACTCCTGGGAGGCAAAATGATGTAACTACAAATGCTTTTCTCAGGGTATCTGAAATAACTAAGGGCATTCATTTTTATGTGAGAAATCGAAGAACTAAGTTTTGGAAGAGGAAAAAGCAGGAAACATGCTTCATGCTAAGTTTTAGTTTTAAATCCACAAGTGTTTGTCATCATCATTCTTTTGGTTGCTTCCAGGGATTATCTTGAACATATAACAGCCATTGGCCCCAGGACTACAGGAAGTCCAGAAAATGAAATTCTGACGGTGCAGTACCTTTTGGAACAGATTAAACTCATTGAAGTTCAAAGCAGCAGGCTTCACAAGATTTCAGTAGATGTACAGCGCCCCACAGGCTCCTTTAGCATTGACTTCTTAGGAGGTTTTACAAGCTACTATGATAATATCACCAATGTTGTGGTAAAGCTGGAACCTAGAGATGGAGCCCAGCATGCTGTCCTGGCTAACTGCCATTTTGACTCAGTTCCAAGTTCACCAGGTGTGTATCTGTTTTGCAAACATTTTAAGTCATTGAAATGCAGAAAGTTTTTAAGATAACCCCAAGCTCCTTGTGGGGACCATTTTTGTGGTTAAATGTTTTTTGTGGTTAAATTTTTTTTTCATTCTGTTAGAAGACAGGATAATTAGTATCAGTATTGAACCTAATCATTCATTATTCTCTTAAATGCTTTGTTATCATTATTATTATTTTTAACATAATAGCAGCCAGATGACAATACTTGACATGTTTCTGACCTAGCCTTATCAGTGTTACCAACAGTGTGTATGGCCTGTGTCTTAGAATCTGATTCTGCTGCTTCAAATGTTTATGCAGCTAATTCTTGTAGTATTAGGCTTTGGGAACACTGGGTAAAGGATAGTCTGTGACTTTAAGGAATGCAGAGTTTGGTGGACATCACTGCTAGTATATTCTGTTGAACTGTGGAGTGAGAATTTTGGTCCACTGGGAGTGTGGCATATTGTTAGAGATGAGTTTAAATTCTTGCTCTGAAAAAATATAGGCAAAATAGAATATAGTACTTGATGTTTAGGACAGTGCCTAATAACCATAATTGTCAAATGAATGAGAATTCCCAGAACTATTTCCACTTATAAAAACAAGATTCCTCAGGAAAATGTTTTCAGTAGTTAAGGTAGTTAAGGTAGGTAGGTGACAAGGTCTGAGGTGGGTTAAGGTAGGTAGTCAAGGGAGGTAAGGTAGGTAGGTGATAAGATCTGAGGTGGCATCTGGCTCAGCTTCCTTATTTGACACTGGAGTAAATTTAGCTGATCACTATTGATGAGAGGTGGAATTGGGATCAAATGCTGGGTTTCCTGCCTTGTTAGTTCTTGCAGCTGCATTTGGAAGGAAGGAAAAGTTGTTGAGTCTAACTAATGACCCTTTTGGCAGAATTCGTAACTGAGGGATCCCTCAGTTTCTCATCTATTAAATGGAAATATAATAGTAATTTCCTAATAGTGTTGTTCAAAGGATTAAAATATCCTAGAACAGCACCTCTAGGGAAAAATCTACCATTTTTTCTTTTGGTGTTGATTTTAAAATTAATGCTTTTAGATTACTTGAATTTATAGTAGCTCCAGTATAGTTACATAAAATATTGCTTGATAAAACAATTCAGATCAGAATACTTTAATTGGAAAGCTAGACAATTACATTTAGACTGTACTTTGCTTTTTCAGAAGTTAGTATGCCCACATTTGCTGTATAAAGGCAGAAGTATCTTTGTGTGTTCTGAGGAAACGCTTTTCAAAGAAATAATAAAACAAATGTCACCCCACTTAAATAGTATCATTATTATGATGCTCAAATTCTGGGAGGGCACAGATAAACACCATGGTTGCTGAAGAACAATCATGTAAGATGTGTATACAAATATCAAATCGGTGTAGAGGCAGAAAAAAATAATTTTCCCTATACCCTTCATAATTTTTAGATAGCATAGACCCCTAAATTATGAAAAGATAGACAAGAAAAAGTTAATTGCTGTATATATCTCATGTATACATGGGTGATATCCAGAGAAACTGAGTCAGACTCAGAGATGTATAGCATCTAGTTTGTATACCATCTTCGACAAGGAGCCAAGAGAGAGAAAAAGGACTTTTAGTCTCTGTGGGCAGTACAGCGTGACAAGGAGGACACAGTACATAGTAAATAAAGGCTAGTTAGTAAAGTTTGTCGTCTAGAGAATAGACTTCCTCTGGGGCTGTCTGTAGGCTAAGAAGGGTCGACAGTTGTCTTTGGTGATCAACCCTTGCCCCTCCTTGTCTTGAGGGAGCAGGGCAGACAGTTTTTCTTGAACTATCTACTTCTCAGTTGCCTTTAGCTCAAAATAATCTGTGTTTTGGGATGACATATATGGCCACCTTTTGTAAACACAGTGCCAAATTGGAGTCCATTAATTAAAAGATGGCATTCTTGTGAACCATTAGAACCTGTTTTTACATAAAATTTTATAGGAACACCCATATCAACAAATCTCAAGGAAATGTTTGTAAATAGTAAATTAAGATATATCATGCACAGGTACAAATTCTCTATGATGAATGTTATCATTATATATATATCTAAAATGTGCCAATAAAATAAAAAGAAAAAATTATCTATTACATGTTCGTCAGACAGGCTATCACCCAAATCTTTTAGTGGATGATCTAATTGAAGCATGAGTTTTCTCTCCTTTCCTTTTTCTCTTTCTTTCTGTGATCTAGGGTTTGTTTGTTTTGGGGTTTTTTTGAGTTCAGGATGACCTTAAACTCACTATGTAGTCCAGGCTGGCCTCAAACTCACAGAGATCCTCCTGCCTCAGCCTCCTAAGTGCTGAGATTACAGGTATGCATGCGCCACAGCACCTGGCTTGATGCTGGAGTTTGAACCAGGGTCTTGTGCATGTTAGCTAACTCTGCGATTGAGCTACTCCTCCACTCCCATAACTATTGTTTTAAAAGTTCTTCTCAGCACTGTACCTGGAACTCAGGAATTGATAGCAATTTGGAGTAATATTACCCACAGAAAGGCCTTAATTTGTCTTCTTGGGTCTGTTATATAGTTCTCCAGGTCACTGATAGAAGAGACATTGAGTTATTTTGGGGGTGGCTTCAATTTTAGTGTTAATTCTAAATGGAAAATGTGGTTGGTTAATGACCCAACCTGTTTAGGTACTGTACTGTTTGATACTGTCCTCTTTCTTTCACTTTGTTAAAGGTATTTCACCTTTCTGTAGTTCTCTTCTAAAACAGCAGAAGTATTAGTATAAGGGAAAATAAGTGGACAGTTTTAACTTATTAAAATTAATCCTATAAAGATAGATGCCTTTAAATATCTTTTTTTACTTTGAATAAAGAAAAATTTTGTTTGCTTTTTACTTTCAAGTAACTCACAAAATAAAATGTTTGTATCATTTGGTTTCTGGAAAGTGGCACTATTTACTGTGTATGTCTCACTTGATAGTAGATAATTCTTATATGTTTCACTTTGACTAAAATTCAATCCAGTAATCACCGCTAAGACAGTGTGTGTTCTTGAGTAGGAATAGCGCCTGGAATTTAATGTAGCCTAAACAAGCATTTTATTTAGCTGGCTACGGGGCCTTTTTTTCAGCTTATAAAGAGAAGGAAAAATAAACATTGATTGCCTTCCAGGTGCTGGGCATTGGGTGTTATTTTGTGTAATCCTTGCAACAAACCTGTGAGGTGGATGTCATTAGCTTGCTTTATAGTTGAAATAGTGGAGTAAAGCAGCAGAGCTAAAGTTTACTTCTAAGTTTTTCCTGCTCTACAATACCCATAGTACCCTGCCTCCTGGAACATAGGTCCAGAAATGCTGTTGCCTGAGTTATGATAGTATTTATTTTGAATCCTCTTTAAATTTATTGTGGAGAATTATAGACATAGAGAAAAACAGTTTAAATGCATCCATCACTGAGGTGCAACAGTCCAGTCCTCTTTTCTACCTCAACCCCCCACTCCTTGATGATGATGATGACTTTTTTTTTGGTACTGGGGTCGGACTCAGGACCTTGCACTTGTGAGGCAGGTGGCAGAACCACTGAGCTAAATCCCCAGCCCTCCTTGATTATTTTGAAGCAGATCTTAGCTGTATTGGTTCCTGGGTAACTGTTTCAGTCTACACTGCTGAAAGAGAAGCATCCTTTTTGACAATGTTAGCAATACCTTGAGTTATCGCCACCTGTGAAACCAAACATTAAAGTTGGAGATGAAGCTCAGTTGTAGAGTGTTTGCCTAGCATGCAGTGGGCCCTGGGTTTGATCTCCAGCACTGTAAAACATCCTCCCCTCCTCCTGAAAAACTTAATTCCTGAGTATCATTGAATAGCTAGTCAATTCCTTTTCCTCCTGCAGTGCTTTTAAAAAAATCAAGGTACTAGAGTCGTCTATCTGTTAATTAGCATACAGAATTTCTTTTTCTGTTTTTTTTTTTTTCTTCAGAATTTCTAAATTAAGAAGAGGGTAGGAGATATGACTAAGTTCTCTACTTCAGTACAGGACTTAGGGATACAACTTAGGTCATTATTCTCCTTTCCTGTGTCTTACTAAATAGTTGTATTTGTACTTTTTCATCACATGCTTCCCTTGGAAAAACATTTAAAAATTCTATACTGTCCAAACTGACCTCTGCAATGTGGAATTATCTACAGCTTTTATGATTTTTATAAGAAAACAAAAGTGGGTGGGTTGGGAGATGGAGGAAGCCATGTGTTTAGAAGTGAGTTTAATACAGAGGATGTTAATAAGGATAAAGGGTGACACAAATGGCCTTGGGTTGCTGAGAATGCCAGTTTTTAGTATGACTGTGTGTCTGTCTCACTTAGTTGATTTGTTCAGCAGATACTGTGTGTCTTCATTGAGCCAGGCACTGTTCTAGGTACTGGTTATAAGTCAGTGAGCAAACCAGACAAAGAACGTTGTGAGGCTTATCCCCAGCGGATGTAATCATCACCCGATGATGACAGAGCTGTGCTTCTGGTCATGTTGCTATTGTGATGCTTCTCTGAGGAGACACCACCATTCTTAGCCATAATGGTTCATAATGTAAAGGCTTTGGAGTCTGAGAAGCAAATATGTTTTCTCTGATTTTAAGGTGCCAGTGATGATGCAGTTAGTTGTTCAGTGATGCTGGAAGTCCTTCGAGTCTTGTCAACATCTTCAGAAGCTTTACAGCATGCTGTGGTGTTTCTCTTCAATGGTGCTGAGGAAAATGTCTTGCAAGTGAGATTTTACTATTCTGAGTAATAATAATAATAGCTAACATGCATTTTTATTCATATGAGTAGTATCAAAATGATATCCAAAGAAATATTTTATCTTGGAGTATTAAAAAGTCCATTTAAGGGCCGGGGATTTAGCTCAGTGGTTTCGTCGCCTGCTGTGCAAGTGCAAGGACCCGAGTTCAATCCCTGGTACCAAAAAAAAAAAAAGTCCATTTAAGGGGTGGGGATTTAGCTCAGTGATGCCGCCACCTGCCTTGCAAGTGCAAGGTCCTGAGTTTGATCCTTGGTACCAAAAAAAAAAAATTCATTTATGTAGTAGACATGTTCAGTATTTGAAAAACTCAGTTTAGAGTAGGTCATCCTGGCAGTGGCAGTATTTGATTCTTCTTTATTTTTCTTTTTTGTGGTACTAGAAATTGAACCTATGGCCATTGCGCTGAGTTATATCCCAGCTCTTTTTAAAAATTTTTAAATTTTGAGATAGGGCCTCACTAAGTTGCTGAATTGTCCAGGCTAGGCTTGACCTGGCAGTCCTCCTGCTTGCCCTGCCTGAGTGCTGGGATTATAGGCATGCACCACACCTGACTTCTGCTGATTTTTTACTCTGTTGTTGCAGAGATGTTTTTAGGCAGGCCCACAGCGTGCATGCTCACCCGTATGGGCTTTGTCTTCTCTGCTTCTATTCTCTTTGCTCTTTCATACAGCCTCACACTTACCAAGAATGTTGTTTAGCACCGCTCATAGTAATCAGGCTGCCTCTGTGATAGATGACTTTTCACTGAGTAACCTGCACATGGTTATTATGCATAGAAATACAAATATCTTTAAGAAATGATTATTTTGTTTTCATATTCTTTTTATTATATCAAAAACTTTAAGATGGTTTCTCTCTTTCTTCTTAAGGCCAGTCATGGTTTCATTACTCAGCATCCATGGGCCAGCTTGATTCGTGCATTTATTAACCTGGAGGCAGCAGGTGTAGGAGGGAAAGAACTTGTGTTCCAAACAGGTATGTGAGACTGTGCCCTGTATATTTTAATGCAATTCTGGTTTTTATGAAAGTAGAAAGTGGGAACTTTAATCCCTGTAACCTGTAATCTCTTGAGTGAACATTCTTTTTAAGGTATGAAGTGGTTTCAATTTGTCTTTGTTAAAATTTTGTAGCTAATAATATTAGTAGCACATAACACTTATATGGTGCTTATTATGTGTAATTCAAAACGTCTTCTGTAAGAATCAAGGTATAGTATGTGCAGTACAAATTCCCTATGATGAATATGATCATTATGTATATCTAAAATTTACCAATAAACTTAATTTTTAAAAAAGGTGTGTGTGTGTAGTATCATGTTCCCCCTACACGCCCGCCCCCACATTGGGAATTGAGCTGAGGGCCTTTGCCCTGAGCTATATCCCCACCCCTTTATTTTTACTTTGAGATAGGGTCTCACTAAGTTGCCCACGATGGGCTGGATCTTGTAATCTTCTGCCTCAGTTTTCCACGGTGCTGGGATAACAGGCCCGCACCATGATGCTCAGCTCATATGTTTAAAGTCTTTTAATCCTCAAAACAACATGAGGAGTAAGTACTGTTATTACTCCAGTTTTATAGAAGAGGAAACAGGCCAGAGAAAATAACTTGCTGAAGTGTCACAATTGGTAAATGACAGAATAGGATTTGAAGGTAGGCATCCAGGTTCAGAGAGTTTACCCTTAACCACTAGCCAGCCTAGATGGTGAACATAGAACTTTTCTAAGGATAATAAGATATACAATTGATTAATATTAACTTGTCATCTTTCTTAGAATTCAAAGCTCATAGATTTGTTAAGTCAGGACTACCAATATCTGACATTAGAAGTTTCATGCCATTTCCCTGCTCAGTTAGAAATTTGGGTATGTAATTTATCCATTTATATAACATTTGCCAGGAGTTTTAATATTGACTAGTGTGTTGACTGAGGTGGGGTATGGGAAGTAAGTAATGTGACATGGGAATTTGTAGCACCCTTGAAAGACATGTATTTAAGTTATTAAGTTATGCTAAATATGTTTTTATAACCTAAAGAGTGCCATAATTAAAGGTTCTCTGTCCAACTTACTTTAAATAATTTTTACTCTTCAAATAGATGTATATTTTACTTCCACTAAACCCTTTGAGAATCTCAAGGTCATAAGGTCAGAAGCAGCAAGGCTCTGCTTTCTATTAAATCTTTCTACTTCCTTTTCATCTGATGAAGCTGGATCCTGATATCTACAGGAGCAAGTAGCTGCTACATTTTTGTCCATTCCCTCTATTTCTTGGACATCACTGAGGATGAGAACATGTGCAGCAACCACCAAATCAAAAAGCAGTAGCACAAAATTCTGTAAGAGAAGACAGTGAGTCTTTCTCCTTGTGAAAATCTCAGGGGTCCATGTGGGCAACAGTGTGTCTGTATATTTTCTCTGTCAGAAATGTTCATTGCCTTTATATTCAGATTCTTAGTTTATTGTTACAACAACCCGTCTTCGTACTTCTCCCCAGAGGTAACCCAGTTTGATGGGCTAGTCTGTACCTTTCTTGATTTTTTTCCCCGTGTGTATGTATTAATATATTCTACACATGAATACTCCAGAGAGGTGAAAACACATGTACCTAGGGTTAGTTAGCTCCAGGCCCAAGTCAGTTCCTTTACTTATTTACATTTATTGAGTACTCACTTGTGCTAGGTCTGCCAAAGTCTTTACTCTTCACTAGATGTATGTAGTTTTAGATAAAAATTCTATAGCTACATAAATTTTAGAAGTAGTTGTATTATCTGGAAGGATACAAACAAATTTAATAACAGTCACAGCTAGATGGTATGTGTTGGTGGAACTGAGGTGACTATTCCTGGAGTGAAAGTGGGTGAAATGTAAAATACCAGTTTGAACTGTCTGTTGTTTCATGAAGTTAAGATTAGAATTGGCGTTACTGCTTTACTTATACTCTCTATAGTTTTCTGTATTGTTTAAAGTTTTACAGTACATGTTGTACTTTAATAATAAAGCAAAAACCATACTTGGGAGTCATTAGCAGTATATATACAATTTAAATGTTACTCATTTAAAAATCTCCATATTTCAAAAATTAATTTTTTTTTTGTAGATCATCCTACAGAAGATTTGTAGAGAAGGTCTGTCCCTTTTCTCTCAGTTTTTGTATTTTTTCCTATTTTTGGAGCTAGTTCTTGTGGTTAAACTGCATACCTGAGAGCTGGATGCTTTTTAACATCCCAGTACCTTTCCTGTATCCCTTTCACTTCTGATACCCCTCCCCACAAAAGACTAGCTTTTTTGTGAATATGTCTTTCAGAAAGCTAGCTAGTGTTTCCTTGTTTGACTAAAAGAGGATAACGGCCTTTCTTCCCTGCCTCTAGACTTAGAATTGTGCTAGGGAGCATATACCAGATGGCTCTGTCCTCGGCTCCCCGCCCCCCCCCCCTTTCCCTCTGTGTGGCAATACTTGTCCTGTTATGGAAACTTTGCAGATAAAACACTTTGTATTGGACAGAGGATTTAGCTCAGTGGTTCTGCCGCTTGCCTCACAACCCCAGGACCCAAGTTCAATCCTCATTACCAAATAAAACCCAAAAAACAAAAAAACGCTTTGTACTCCCAACTGTGCTCATTGTCACCTCCAAGAAAGATGTTCATTTAGGGAATTTTTAGTTACTAGAATAATTTTTTAAAAGACTGCCTAATTTTTTAAAAGAAGAACTAGAAAGACTAGTTTATCAGATCAGTGACTTAGGAAGGCTTGATTCAGTAATTGGGAAGGTATTATAAAATTCAAGCTTTTAAAATTTAAACAGATTGGGCTGGGGATTTAGCTCAGTGGTTCCACTGCCTGCCTTGCAAGCGTAAGGTCCTGAGTTCCATCCCCGGTACCAAAAAAAAAGGGTAAAATTTAAACAGATTAAAACAGTAACATATGTTCCTTTTAAAAAAAATTTATGTATTAGCCAGGCATGGTGGTGGTTACCTGTAATCCCAGCTACTCAGAAAGCTGATGCAGAAGGATTACAAGTTCAAGGCCACCTTGGGCAACTTAGTCCGTGATTGCAAATAAAATAAAAAGGGCTAAGGATATAGTTTGATGGTAGAGCATGGGTCTAGCATGTGAGCATGTGTAAATCTCCAGGGTGAGCAGCAAAATGGTCATAGAATCTTTTATTTTCTCTTATGAAAATACCAATATCCCTGTATTTTTGCCAACCAAAGCAAACTATTGTTACAGTTTAGTCTTCACTTTTCTGGAATTTTTGTGTGTACATATTTGTTTGTGTTTGAGTGTGTGTGTGTTTGTAGAGAGTAGAAAAGAAATTTACAAAAAATGGGATCATATTCTCTCTACTTTAAACCTTAAGGATGTATTGTTTTTTAAATTATAGCTTTATTGAGATATAACTCATAACCTATAATTTGCTAATTTAAAATGTAAAATTCAGCATTGTAAATGTATATTTAGTTATGCAGTCATCATTATCATAATCTTAGAACATATTTTATCACATCTGAAAGGAATTTTTACTTATTAGCAGTCACTTGCCTAGGCAAGCACCTGTCAACTTTCTCTCTTTACAGATTTGCCTGTTCTAGATATTTCCTTTAAATGTGGTCTTCTGTATATGGTGTCTTTTCCTCTGTATGATTTGAGGTTCACTGTGTTATATGATGCATCAGTACTTTGTCTTTTTTTAATGGCTGAATAACCCATTATCTGTATGTACCACAGTTTGTTTACTCGTCAGCTCATGGACATTTGGAGTATTTTCATCCTTAGGCTATTATGAATAATGCTGCTGTGAGCTTTCATTTGGAAGTCTTTGCATGAGCACGTTATTTCCATTTTTGGAGGAGTAGATACTTAAGGAGTATAAATTTATGTTTAAATTCCTAAAAAATTATGAAACTAAACAATTGTGTGTTTGTTTGTTTATTTATTTATTGTGCTACTGGGGCTTGAACCCAAGGCCTTGCACATGCTAGGCAAGTATTCCAAGTTTTATTTGGAAAGAAATACAAATTTTTTTGTTGGGTACTGGGGATTGAACTTAGGACCTTGCACTTGCAAGGCAAGTGTGGTGCCACTGAGTTAAATCCCTGGCCCAAGAAATACAAATTTAAACAGCAATAATTTTTAAAAATAATTATATTGGCAAAAAAATGAGTGTGATGGTAAGACTGGTGCTGGCGAGTATAGAGAAATAGGCATTTTCATATAATATTGGTAGAAATGTAGGTTGCCTTTTGGCAATATGTATTATCATTTGAAATGTGCAGACTCTTCCAGCAACTTCAGCTTCTGGGAGTTTATCCTACAGACATGACATGGATACATAATCTAAATATTACATAGTCATCTTGACTTTTTTGAGTGAAAAATTTAGAATACCTGTAAGGTCAGTAAGTAGCAGATTGGCCATATAGATGGTGACTTAAATTCTATTTTGTTGTCCATCATTAATTTTTCCTTCTCTATAGAAAAACCATTTCTCTCATCTTAAAGAAAATTACTTTTCCCCTAACCCCAACTACTATCTCATTTCTCTTGATTCTTCACTGCAAAATTCCTCAAAAGAATAGCCTATGACATAACAGTCTCTAGTGCCTTTGCTTCTATTTTTTTTTTCTTTTGAGACAGTGTCTTGCTTTGCAGTTAAGGCTGGCCTTGAATTTACTATGTAGCACAGGCAGGCCTCGAACTTACTGTGATCCTCCTGCCTCAGCCTTCCGAGTGCTGGGATTATAGGCATGCACCATTATGCCTGGTTTTGCATCTGTTCTTGCAGTTTGCCTCCCTACTTTACCAAAACTGCTCTCAGAAAAGTTGCATTCGCAAATTCAGTGATCAATTTTCAAGTCTCGTCTTATTTGGCTTCAATAATAATATTTGCCACTCTTTGTCTGCCTTCTTTGTTAATTCCTCCTTTTTTGTTTCTTCTGTGTGTTAATGCCACCTTCCAAAGATAGGAGTAAGTAGAG